TCGAAGGCGGCGCGGAATTCTAAGAATACAATGATCGTTGTTTTTTGATAGGTATGATGGTGCTCTAGCACCTGTCGGAGGGCGAAGATTTGATCGACGCATCCACGACCAGCGCGAAACCCAGCGTGCTTCTTACGCATAGTGTTCAATCAGCGGAGAATGACGGACACCAACAGCTTTGAGGTTATTGGGATAAGGTTTATACCCATATGATTGGCGCAGTCATTGCGCGGGCCCCGGTTGAAGATGGGGATTACAATCTGGTCCATCCACGAGCAGCGGAATAACAAAAGGTAGAAGATAATGTGAAATGATGGAGTAATCGCACTATCGTACTGTCCACATAACGACATAAATTGATATTGTGATATCTTAAATTATTATTCGGACATCTTAAATTGAAACAGCTAGGCAATAGTGAAGAGAACAAACGACAGGTCTCAGGCTGAGCCCATTATCAGTAGAAACGGCAGAGCTCGTGGTAAATGGGCTAAGTAATAAGTGACGGACTCTCTCGGTCTCTCTAGGTGACATAAGGAACACTAACTTGATTCAAGACAGGTTTGAGTATTTTGGTGTGGGCCATAAAATTCCATTTTGGTTCCTCGTAATGTCCATGCGCATTTATAAACCGTTGGCTTTATGTTCGTGTTTCAATTCTCACACTCAGAAACACAGTACAGCACGTATTGCTGATGAGCCCCAAGTGATAAAACTGGTGTACAATGCTCTTTGTAGGTCATCATAAGCGAAATTCCTTCACAAAAAAAGAAAACAGTTGCCGGAGAATGGTATGATCTGATTATATCAGGCGGACTCTCTCCAACCACTCAAAATGAACAAACTAATGATGTCTGAAGTAATGAATTATAAGTAGAACGTGAGCAAACTTAGTAAGACACTTACATAGATCGTGCGGAGCGTTGTCAACCGATAAATAGTTTTACCAGTATTCATCGTTAATACGTGAACTGCATTATTTTGATCATTCTGTTTGAAAATGATACATATATCCCGTGTATTGATGGTGTACAAACTAAAACCATCTCGACGTTTATTACCGGTCTCGCTTACTCTATACACACAAAAACGCATGGGACGAAGCCCAGCGCTTACTTGAAAAAAGCAACTGAGCACACTGAACACTTGACCCCAACGATGTTGGTCCAATCGTGGTCCGAAACCGACGGCAAGGTGGTCCAGCACATGTGCATTACTTCGTCGATCCAAAATGGAACTAGGGGAAGGTTGTGACGATGAAGAGGAAGAGAAATCTTCGGGCACACATTCAGACGATGTGTCTGGGATGTATTCCTTGATTCCCAATCCTACGATGGTGTCCCAATCGAGTTTGGAGATTCTACTCATGTCTAATGAAACCAGATGAAGTGCAGAAACTGCAAAATTCGCGTCCGACTGGAGCAAAGCTAAGGATAAACGGAACGACCAGTGATACAGAGGAAGTGATAAGAACGAACAAAACAAACTAAATAAAAAGTAATAGGGTCACATTTTCAAGGAGATCGATACCCTGAATCAATCACCGTTGCTGCAGCAGTTCGGCCAGTCCTGCTCTACGGTGCAGAGTCTTGACCACTAAGGGAACAGGATAAAAATAGATTGTCCGTGTTCGAACA